GAAATCAATATAAATAATGCGAACGTCGTAACGTATAGTTAAGTATAGTTAAAATAATAGTATGCCAAATGATGATTAAAATGCGTGCCTAGTATAATTTTGACATGTTTCTTATTTGATTGTGGGGAGTGTCATGTCACCGTCATGGCTTAAGTGAATTGTACTCAGTAGCGTATCTATATGCAGGCACTATAATAGCAGCGACACATTTTAAGGGGTGGCAACATTTTTAAGTGTAGTTTTTTCTTTATTGATGGTATTGGATTGTTGCTGATGATTATGATGCTATTATAAATTAAAACGTATCCCGTATTGTACATTATATATTTGTATCCATCCTACAACAAAATATTTATTTTTAATCTTGGTCAACATAAAAATAGAAACTATAATAACATTAATAACAATATATTATCAACGCTTGGCGCCGTCGTCGTCAGCGGTTCTACGAATATTTCGTTGACGGCCGTCTAAAAATTTTATTGTATGACTACTGATAATATCCAAGTTATTATTATCGCAGAATTTAAAATATTATTTTAGATACTTAGATGTAGTCGACCTCAAACGGTATACAAGTAATTATGCAGCCCGGGCTATAGTTTAGAAATTAAAAATTAAAACCATAAAGGCATAATAAGTCTAATCAACTAACCATAACTATTCCAAAATAAGCGTTCTATTTTCAATGTTGTTAAGTCGAGTGTTACGAGATCAATCCGAATTCTAACTCAAGGCATGTTTAATACAGTATTATACATATTGTATTAACGGTACCTAAACAAATTGAAGTAGCGCATGCGTCAGTCGATCATTAATAAAATTACGGTTTGTCATATTGATTTTGTGGCGATATCGTATTTTTCGTTGCAATACGTATATATAATATAATATATAGACAAATGTATATTTTATACACGTCATCTCTCACTCGTCACATTATCCTGCCAGTTCTACTGTGGAGAGGTTGGCGGAGAATATACTTATACTATTATATATATATTAGGACCAAACCGCATTGTTATACCAATATATATATAAAAATGAATGATATCCCGTTTTCGTCGTCCTTATAATATATCCTTAGCTCTGTCCTTGAGACCTGTCAACATCCAAATCCACGTAATGTATTCCTGTTCTCTGTGCATTACGTCGTAATAGTATACTACGTATATTATATATATATAAGCGAAAAGAGAAAAATATTGCTTGATCCTTCGCACGCCGTTGTCGAATGATGTCAGGTGTATCATTAATATTTTCTATTTGAACTTTTTCCCGGGGGAGGGGACGACACCCCCAAAAGTCTCGCATAAAAAACCATGACAACTCTATAAATATTATATTTTATAGGTATTATATTATGTCATATTACATACCGGTACATATATAGCTAAAGATGTAGGTATATAAATATATAATATTATATTTTAAAGATAAATACTTCACCGTTCGTGTCCATGTGTTATGAGAATGAAATTCCATGCTCCGAGACATCTTGTATATATTGAGGGTTACTATGTATTAAATATAATATATAATATTATACACTTTTCTATAATACTATTGTGCGCTTATAATATATAGCAATATAATATGTCGTTTCCTTCGTCATTGAACTAATAATTGGATCACATTTTCTATTCCGTTGCGCTTACAAAAATACTTTTGTGAATTTATGTATACGCGTATAAGTATTTATATATTATACAGTTCTCACGGAGATTAGTATAATATATATGCACGCCCTCTCTCAACTCGTCCACTCCAGCTATGTAGATAGGTATCTCCTATATCTTGCGAACAGTTTGCTCTAATAATCGTGAAATGTCCGTTCTTTTTTATTATATTTTTTGTGCACAGTATAATTATGTACTATCTACGTATATATATATATATGAGTGTTTGTGTTAACAAAAATTTAATATTAACAATATTTTCGTTTCCAGGTAAATCGCCCTTCTTTCAAACACTCGAAGATCAAACGGGATTGTTGGATGACCCTGGTTCGCATTTGATCGATACATCCGTGCAAGCTTTGACGTCGCCATCTCGGTCGTCGCCCCACAGTCAAGGATCGGAAAGCAGCGAAAGGTTTTCCAGAAAAGTGTTTGTAGGCGGCTTGCCACCTGACATCGATGAAGGTTTGTTAGATATTTATACCTTGCTACCAATTTTGAAAAATAAAATTTATTTTTGTTGGTGAAAGCTAATTTGTGTTTTACATTTCTTTTCTAGATGAAATCACGGCTAGTTTCCGCAGATTCGGTCAACTGGTGGTCGACTGGCCTCACAAAGCTGAGAGCAAGTCTTATTTTCCACCAAAAGGATACGCTTTTCTTTTATTTCAGGTATTTATTGTAGTATATTTAATCCAAATATTATAAAACCCACTTTTTAATTTTTTCCTTAATATATTTATAATTAATTTATACACAAAATCTATTGTTTTTAATACTACCAACTGAAAACTAAATTATAGAAATATTCTATTTTTTAACTCACATTTATAATCTCTGATTTTTAAGTAGTAGGTTTTGTTTATAATTTATAATTTAACGTAATTGTTGTAATTTAAAATCGATAAAATGTCAGTATAAGACTATTTAGCATATTAAATAGACTACCGGAAACCATTATACTTAAAAAATGAAAGACCTTACGATAACTTTACAGATTAAATGTCATATATTATATTATATAATAATTATAATTAATACATATTATAATACTATAGTTCGTTGTTTAGATCATGGTTCGTCTGAATTAAATTTTGTTAAATTAATGAATGTGTAAAGGTGAGAATCGTTTCACAAGAATAATAATTATTCTCTTCTTTAATTCATCCTTGAAACAATCATATTAACGGTTGTTGAATGATATAAGCATATAATAAGATAATTGTATGGAATATTAATTTAACAGCTGATACCTGTCTACTTATGAAAACAACCTATTGTCAAGAATAAATACTTGACTATTTATTTATCAGCAGCTTAGTACAAAATCGAATAAATTATTAGTTTAATCTATGCATTTTTGAATTTCTCTTAAATACCAGTATAATATTTTTTAAAGATACACTTTTACTGTGATTATTATGTTATACAACAAGAGTAGATTCATGACTTAAGTTTTAAAAAATCTTTACATTTTATTTCTACATTATAGCCATTTTGGCCATAACAATGTTTCAGTTATTATAATACGAATAACAACCAAATAAAAAATATTAAGTTTTTGTTTTTAAACTTGATACATATTTTTTAACTTGTTAAAGTTTCTTTTACTCGCTATAAAGCGGATATAACTCATAAAATAGGCTATATCTTCGTACAAGGTAAATGTTTTAATATGTCATAAATTATTTTAGACATACTTAACAAACCAATACAATTGACCTCCAAAACTTTTTTGAAATTTTGAACGCAAGATTAATATAAGTCAAAAGTGTTGGGAAAAAAATGTTTTTAAAATAAAAATTAAATATTAACTCTTGATTATAGCGTATTCGTTCAAGTTGAATTAAATTAAAATTTTGATTCACTTAAATTGTATTTGTGAAAAATTAAAAAATTTCTCCCTACAATGAAAGTAACTTTAAAATCTCAATTATTTTGTATTATTAAATTGAATAAAAAATAATAATTAATTAAACAAACAAATCAATTTGTTGATTAATTATTTTTTTGCAAACTTGAAGCTGTTTTAAAAAAAAAAAATCCTCATTTCCCTCTTCTTCGTTTACATATTTGATTCATTTTGTTTGTTTATGTGTTTAAATTATTTGGCCAACTGCCAATTGGCCCAATACTTACATTTTTTCCCGACCGTTTCACGGGCACACTAAAAATACAACTAAAGGAAAAAGTGGTAGAGAGATATATGGTTTTTGTGTTAATAGTTTTTTTCAAAACAGCTGATGTCAATATATCATAGTATAGTACCTATATATGTATAGTTAATATAATTATACTATATCATCGTTATATATTACATTGTAAACTTACCTACCTATATTTATTTTTCGTTTGGATATTTTTGCAGGACGAGTCTTCGGTACAGCAATTGATCGACGCATGCATTCAGGATGACGACAAATTATACTTATGCGTGTCTTCACCGACCATCAAAGACAAGCCAGTGCAAATAAGGCCTTGGCGTTTGTCCGACGCTGATTTTGTGTTGGACGCATCCATGCCGTTAGATCCCCGAAAAACAGTGTTCGTCGGTGGTGTGCCTAGACCGTTGAAAGCCGGTAAATTTTAATAAAAAATAAACATTCAAATGTTATTATTTTTATGATTATTTTATCAAGATTCGAACAAAAACTCAAAATTTTGGGTGATCTGATGTTATGACCCTTAACCCACTTCACCCACATACCTATTAAAACGGTCATTTTACCCATTCAAATGCAGTGTTGCCACTATTACCCTATATTATATGCGATTCATAATCTTTTTTTACTTTTTTTATTTTTATTTTTTGACAATATTATATTTTACTTCTAGTCGAATTGGCTATGATCATGGACAGATTGTACGGCGGAGTGTGTTATGCTGGTATTGATACCGACCCAGAGCTTAAGTATCCGAAAGGAGCCGGCCGAGTAGCATTTAGCAATCAACAAAGCTATATTGCCGCTATTAGCGCCCGCTTCGTACAGCTCCAGCATGGAGATATCGACAAGAGAGTGAGTATGGTTTCCATCTTGTGGATAGCTCAACGTCTAAAACAAATATTCTCCAGGAGAGATTAGGTTAGGTTTTGTAATTTCCCGGACAGCGATCCTGGCTTGAAATAAAAATAAATTATTTGCTATAATTAAGTTGGTGCAAAATTTAATGTAATTTTATAAAGCAACGTCGATGTTGTTACGAGTATTTTAAATTTTTATCAAATATAACACATGCACATTAAAATTAAATAATTAAAATTTTTATCGCAATTTAAACTTTCAACATTGTGAGGAAAATATGTACTTAGTTATAATATATCACATTTTGTACCATTTGAACCATTACATGATTACCTGCTGAACAACTCAACCTACTATTTGGGAAACCTTCACAGTCTGTTCCTTGTATATTAGTATATTCAGTGGATCGACTATGAATGAGGGAGTAGTGATCAAAATGTTTTCGTATATAATGATACGGAAAAGTAATCGCATTGATCAACTTAGATTTTTTTTAACATTTCTTTTATTTATATAACACTGTTATAAATACGTAAAAAAAAGCCAAACAACTCACAAAAGAATATAATGAAAACTCGCAACCATCCACACCCTCAAATACACCACAGGCAGTCCTTGTAAATACTCTGTTCTGTATTTACAAATATATAGTATGATATTAATTTTTGTGGTTTCCCGTCTTCACTACTGTCATGACTGTTATTTGTTGATTTTATTTATTTAGTAAATTATATTTAGAATTATTTTTAACTTATTTGATTTTACTAAGGTTGAAGTTAAACCGTACGTGCTTGATGATCAGATGTGTGACGAATGCCAAGGACAGAGATGTGGTGGCAAGTTCGCACCATTCTTTTGCGCCAACGTCACTTGTTTACAAGTAAGCGAGCCGTGAGTCAAAATAATTATATTAGTTTGGTATTATTATTTTGATTTTGGTTTGATTTTTTGAATTTATCTTTTACACGTATATACGTGTATTCATTGAGTTTGAAATTGTAAATTTCAAAACACTTAAAAATATTAATTAAACGCTTTCAAACTTTTAAAACGCTTTGTAAGTTAGTAAGGCTTACTGTGCTGCGTTAAGAATACCAAAATTAATATTTTAAATTTAATGTTTATAATATGTTTAATTCATATATGTCAAGGTATAATTTTTCTTTTTATATATATTTATATTATAATACATTAATTTATGGTCAACTCTATTCGGAATTTTAATCTTGATCCTTGAGTAATTTCAATTTTTAAACAATTTCATGTTTTCAGTACTATTGTGAACTATGCTGGGCGACAATCCACTCAAGACCGGGCCGCGAATTTCACAAGCCGTTAGTTAAAGAAGGCGCAGAACGTCCAAGAACTGTGCCATTCCGTTGGTCATAACGTAAGATTCCAAAGCGAGTAGTCACATTTTATTAATCCACTTATTTGTTTTGTTTTTTTATTTTATTTTATTATTCTTACGCATGTTTATACAAATGATATAAAAAAAATTTTTAATGTTTTTGAATAGTCTTTTTAAAATCTATCGTTTTTTAATGCGAGAACTGTTTTTTACAATTTTTTTTAATCTACCTTTATTACACAATTAAACCTCTACTGACTTAGGGAAATTGACGGTTTTTTTTTTTTTTTTATTGTAATTATTCTTTAGGACTATTTAAATAATTCAGGGTAAACACAATGGATAGGGCTCTTTACACCGAGCAAAAACGAATTGTATTAGTACTACAAACGAATTGTATTAGTACTACACAAACCTTCCAAAGAACTTAGATTTGTTTCGTTAGAACTATTTTTCATTTTATTTTTATTGTTTTTAAACTGTTGGTTTTTCTCTTTATACTTAGATAATATGCAACTTCCAAAAATATTTTATTTTATTTTTATTATTTTTTTTTTTTTTAATAATCTAACTTAAGAGTTTTGTTTTTATTTTATTTTAAAGTTTATTATTTTTAGACAAATTGTTTCGACTACTGCCACCTTTTTATCATAAAATTTTTATAGATATTGTTTTTATTTTATTTTTTTTTTTTTTTTTGTTTTGATAAAGTGTTTTTTTATATATATACACATTTAATATATATATATATATATCTAATATACATATGTATATATAATTATATACATATTTATATTTTAAATATATAAATAAATTAAATATTTACATTATTAATTTGCAAGTAAAATCAGTTTGGTATGTAAACCTTTTATTTTCCCATAATTTTTGTTCTTAATATTATCTTATTATTAATTATTTATATTTTGGGGGCAATATTGTATAGAATAACTATTATATCTAATTGATATTGCGGACGTGGACCACAGGTGTTACCTATAGCAATCGAAACTCTTTAATAAATTAATTAATTATCAATGTGCAATGTTTCGTAAATTAAATGTATGCATGGATCCATGCAAACAATAGGTGTGCCCTTTTCCTGGTTTTTCGCCTAAGTTTTAAATTACAATATGAAATAAAAAGAATACGATATTAAATATATTTTTCTACTTCTTTTTTATATTTTTTAGGCAGCTTCGTTACGTCTTAGCCTAGTTACCAATTCTAAAACGTTAAAAGTTAAAAATAAGAAGAAAATAATATTTGAAATTACACAAAACTGAAAACTGGTGTTTTCTCATCAAAATTTGTATTACCTTTTTTAAACTAAAAAAAAAATGAATAACGTTTGTTGAATGTTATTTAGTTTCAAAAGTTTTTAATGTTTCGTTATTTGTTTTTTGATATTGATAGTATTTAGTTTTTAAAAACCTACCTTTATTTTTTATAATAATTCTCTATATTTTTAATATACTCTACTATACCCTTAGAAACCCTATCGGTTTTATGAAATACCTCAATTTTTGAGGCATGCTTAACGCAGGTCTTCTGCCCCTTTACCCCTTATTTTTCCACTGAAATTGACAATGTTCCGTAAGTTAAAAATTACTAGTGATATAAAAAAATATTAACTTAAATAAGTTTTAATAAAATATCTATGAATTACTAATATTTTTTAATTGGTCGGTAGCATTCTATGTAAGTTTTAAAAATAATAAGATCACTATGTGGATATGATCAATATGGTCACTGCTGAATTATCTCCAGTTTCGTTCATTTTCATTTAAAAGCCTCATGCTTTTCATTATGCATGTGTCACATTAGTATCAAGTTTGAATTTATCAAATCATATCAATAATTGATTTTAAGCAAACGATTAGAATTAACATCTAACATCAGTGCTACCGATTCAACCACCAATATACAGCAATATTATAGTATTAACAATTTTTTGGCCCTCATTTTCTTTTATATCGTACCTCAGTTTTCATTGTCATTTGATTTGGTAACGTTAAGCTGACAAGATAAAATCAAAAAACAAGCAATTTAAATACATTGTACTTAATTTAAAATATATACTATACATTTTTCAATAAAAATAAAAAAAAAGATAATAAATAATAAAATAATAATACATTTTTAAGAATGGTGATTTATACTATAATAATAGATGATACTGCGTTTTCTTGCACTTGATTTAGAGAGTAATAATAAATTTCACTATGTATATAAGAAAAAAACAAAATAATTATGGTATAGGAAAATTGTTGTGTTTTCTTTTTTTTGGGGGAAAAATTTAGTGTAATTTTTATTATGAATCAATAAGTTTTTTAATCGCACCTAAAATATATAAATTATTTATAGCGAATTTTTTCATTATATACATTAGGTTTATCGATAATATGTAAAAAAAAAAAAAAAAAAAACAAAAAAAAATAATTTTTAAAATATTTTGGCAGTCAGATTTTACTAGTTTCTAGTCAAATTATCATTAGCCCATTATGTTCCTAAATACAGGAGCCATATTTAATAATACAAATATTAAAAGTAGATAATTTTTTTCTTTTCTTTTCTATTGCTCATTACTATATAATAATTAAACAATTTGAACAGTAAACATTTTCAAAAAAGATTTTCCATTTTTAAAATAATAATTTTTCTTTTTATGCTGACAAACTGATATTTTATATATTATTAAAATTATAATTACAAATATTATTCAAAATTAGACTTAGTTATTTTGAGATAACAAAAATAAATAAATAGTTGTATTTTTTTTAAACTTTTTTGTCTATTAAATGCTAAATAAAAAAAAAAAAAGCATTATACTTTAAGTGTTCATCGGTGTTTATATATAATAATGTCTGTTTGTCATTTAGTGTTTTGGCTTGTGTGGTTTTTGCGGTAGGGAAATAATTTTAATTTTTCTTTAAAAATAAAACAATTTTTTATAATTTTATTACAAATTTTAATATTATGTAATTACTTGTTTTTATTTCGCTGGCCATTCTGACATACATGTATTTGGCTGTGATACAGTATTTTGTACATCTTTTATTTTTTAACTGCGTAATGCTCGTTTAATTGAATTGTTGACTCGTTTTTCTTTACTTTAACTCTTTTATGGGATGAAAATGGCTATATATATTTTTCGTTTTTCTTTTTTTTTTCATGTAAATTTATAATAATTATAATAACTTGTCCGGTTTTCTGTAAGGGTCGGTTACCACTTAATATATTTCGTTTTTTATTTCTTAATAGTGCAATTACTTCTCTGTGTAAATAAATTGTTTTGTTTTTCACATAATTTTTTTAATTGATCAATAATCTTAAGTTTTATTACTCTCGTTCCTCTTACAGTTCGAATAAAAATGATAATAATAATAATAATAATAATTGAAACTTGTACCTATATGGTTTATTATTTCCTATGGCTCAAAGTTTTCTTCCAAACGAATGTTTTATTAAATAAGCTATTTGCTGCAAGCTAAACGCATATTTAATGTAACAATTATAAATTTATAAAACATAGGTAATCCCACGTTTTCATCAATCATTACAACATTGTAATCAAAAAGTAATCATTCTTCGAGTTCGTGTTTTAGTTTTGTTATTTAATTATTATTAGTATTACTACTCTTATTGTTTTTTTTTTTTTTTCAAAACATCAAATATAATAATAACCATTTATGTTATTTATTTTATAAACTGTTTGACAAACTTTAGTAAAATTTATTGTATAATTTGTTTAACTAATATTTTACCACAATTTGTTATAAACAACGATTACCATTGTGCTGTTGTTGTAGGATCTATAAGCTTATAATTATTGTGTTTTTTGAACAGATATTTTATTTCTGTAAAATCCAAATACACACACATATTCAAAAATTTGTTATATAATTTTTTCTTTTGTATTTAAATAGGCAGGACTGTGATATGATCAATAAGAATGATTGTAAAAACAGATACCTATATGTTTGATTTGTTTATTTTTTTCCTTATGGTCTAATTAATTATGTAAAACATTTTTAAATAATGTCGATCGTATTGATCTCTTGTCCAGAAAAATAAAAAAAGTAACTTACATCTTGTTAAAAATAATAAATAAAATAAAAAAATGTTAAATTGTTTTTGGTTCTTATTTTATTAGTTAGTTTTTTTTTATTTACCTGGGATTTTTATTTATTATTATTATTATTATAAAATTCATACATCTTACATATTTTTTTCAAAAACTTTTATCTAGCGTTTTTTTTGTTTGTTTTATTAATTTATTTTATTTATTTATTATTATTATTTTATATATGCAATATAAAACGCATATTTTAATTTCAAAGACACAAAATATAATATCATATTGCCAGCTGGAAGGGAAAGTGAGACTTGAGTTCAATAATTTTGCTTTTTGTTAACTTTATATTTAAAAAAAAAAAAACATTATAATAAACGTAATTACCTAATTATTTACTATAATAGAGATGGAAAATAAATGATAAAATATTCTTTTGTAGTATACCTAGTTTAGATAAATGCTAAAAAAAAAAACTAGCCTATGCTAAATATATTATTTGTGTGCATTTTTTTCATCACTCCTATTTTTTATGAATTTTGTACGTTTTTTCTAATTAATATTTTTTTTTTTTTTTTTTGTATACTACGAATTTTTTAAATGTAGTAATGTTGGACAAATCTATTATAAAATATTTAAACTTTTTTTTTACCCAAATACCCTAAATCAAATTTTTCTTGAAAAAAAAATTATGATTATTTCATTGTAATGTTTAAGAAAAGATTTGTCTGTCTTAATTATTTTGTTTTAATAATATATATATTATATAACATGTATAACACAAAGTGTCCAACTTGCTTTTCCCGGTAACTTGCCTCGATGTTTCAATTGGGTCAATTTATTATGGTTTTGTTTTTGTTTTTATTTTTATTTTTGTTTTGTTTTGTAAAATTATTATAATAATGTATATCCATATAATAAAAAAAAAATTACAATATTATCTTTTGTTGTTTTTATTTAATTTTGTCGTGTTATAAGGACAGTATCAACTACTGTTTCTGTACCAAACTGGTGCTGGCTTCTGCAATGGTTCGCCTTTCACAGTAATTGTCTATTTAATAA